TAGATAGACAGATAGATGATATATAGGTAGGTAGGTAGGTAGGTAGGTAGGATAGATAGATTAGATAGATGATAGATAGATAGATAGATAGATAGATAGATAGATAGATAGATAGATAGATAGATAGATAGATAGATAGATAGATAGATATAGACTGGCAGGCAGGCAGGCAGGCAGATATAGTGGTGGGATTCAGCTGGTTCGCACCACTTCAATAGAACTGGTAGCTAATTTTTTGTTGCCCAGGCCCAGAACGGACTTCCGGAAGCGGCATCCATACAGAGAACTGATTGTTCACATATTTGAATCCCACTACTGGCTGTAAGTGTGCAAAATTGTCATAAGTCACTTTTTTCAGTGCCCCTGTAACTTCGAACAGTCACTAAGCAAACAGTCACTAAGCGAACAGTCACTAAGTCGAGGATTACATGTAAATCTAAAGTATGGCTTGCAATTATGTGCAATATGGCTAGTGCACGATTGTATTTACAGTTAAATAATAAAAATACTATTTTTGGTCTTAACGGCAGAAAAAAACGCAATGCTAGTTAAAAACAGAGGGAAAGCTCTTTTTAGCCGGCGAAAAATGCATTTGTATCTGCTCTGTTGCTTGATAGATCTGCCTTCAATAAAACACACACAATTCTGTCGGAGGGCTGGATTCACAATATACTAAATTAACTAAATATGGTTGTTACTGATGTTGTTTAAGAAAATGCTCTTCCTAAATATTTAAACAACGAAATGTTTACGAATTCAAGAACAGAATCGTATTTTCTCCCATCCTAAAGCTGGATTTTGAACCGCTGATGTAGTCTACTCTGCCCAGTTCATAGATTACGTGTCTACAATTTGAACTAAACTCTTCTCAAGTTTGTTCCGCAGTTTTGTTGACCCTGAGGTTTTTACTAGCTAAAAAGAGGTGATAAGAACTTCTACAGCAGAAGTGCCCAACCTTGACAGCTTTAAAATGTGTGGACTTCAACTCCTAGTATTCCCAACTGAAAAAGGAAAATATTTGTAGCTCAAGGTTGAAATGGGGGGTCCTTGGTGCTCTCTGAACTTGGTGGTTTTCTTGCAGACGTTTCATTACCCAACTAGGTAACATCATCAGTACTAGAAGGAATGGGGTTTGCAGGGAGGAGGAGGAGAAGGAGGAGGAGGAGGAGGAGGAGGAGGAGGAGGAGGACGACGACGACGACGACGACGACGACGACGACTCTGGGGTCCTTGGTGTTCTCTGAGCTTGGTTGTTTTCTCGAAGACGTTTCATTACCAAACTAGGTAACATCATCAGTGCTAGTAAGGGGTTTGCTCTCAATTTATATTCTAGTGGCATGTGTTGATAGGAATGGTCTTGGAGCTTTTTTGATCAGGCTTTTTACTGTTAGCTTCTTTGGCGGTTCCTGGTTCGCCAGAGCTAACAAAATCTTGGGCGGAATGATGATTTTACATTTTGATTTAACCCAAGTCAGATGAGAACGAAAAACATTTCCTTTTTATTTTATTTTTTTTAGGGAGAAACGGAGTTAAAAGACCAGTAAATTTACTTATTAAACCATCTTCTTTATCTGAACTAAACGGTAACGTCAATTTATTTATTTTTTTAAAAAAATGATCTGTGTTTTTCAAATTGTTTCCCCCTAGGGGCAGTGAAATGTCTAGAAAAAATCTTCGACAAAGTTTTGAAGAAAGTGGTGTTTAAGGCTTGGCGAAAATGTCTTATTGTAAGCAAAAAGCCTAAAAAATCTTTTGAGGTAAGCATATTTGAGTTGGTGCTGTGCTTTCCCTCCCCCCCCCCAAAAAAAGCATTGATATAAATTCATTTTAAAAATCTGTTCGATATCTTGAACCCCCAAAGTGAACGGCTACCGATTAAGCAGTTTAATGGATTAAATGGAGTACAGATAGGGGGAGAAAAAAATCAATACTTGACTCCTATTCTCTATCTCTATATTTTGCAGCCTGTGTTGGAAGCCGAGGAATTTTGTTTTGTTCAACCTGAAGCCCGCGAACGGCGACATTCGGACAGGCGTCGCTCCTCTGCCCTGTCTAAGAATCTGTTTGAAGAATTACCAGCGTTCCATGTGAAATCAGGCAGAGAATATTTTACAAAGATGCCTATGCAACCATTAGCCCAGGTCAGTTGCTTGTTAATTATAATAAAGTTCACGTGAAGTGTTAATGCCACTTTACAAGGCCTTGGTAAGGCCACACCTGGAATACTTGCATCCAGTTCTGGTCACCACGATGTAAAAAAGATGTTGAGACTCTAGAAAGAGTGCAGAGAAGAGCAACAAAGATGATCAGGGGACTGGAGGCTAAAACATATAAGGAACGGTGGCTGGAATTGGGTATGTCTAGTCTAAGGAAGAGAAGGATGAGGGGGGACAGGATAGCAGCCTTCCAATATCTCAGGGGCTGCCCCAAAGAAGAGGGAGTCAAGCTATTCTCCAAGGCGCCTGAAGGTAGGACAAGAAGCAACGGATGGAAACTAACCAAGGAGAGAAGCAACCTAGAATTAAGGAGACATTTCCTGACAGTGAGAACAATTAATCAGTGGAACAGCTTGCCACCAGAAGTTGTGGGTGCTGTAAATCTAGGATTATCTGTATTGAAACAAAATAAAGCAGAGTAGTTTCTTTTATTCGTCCAGCTAATCCTTTTATGGCGCCCTAATACAATTTCCTAATTGTACCAAGAGCCACATGGAAAAACGTTTTTTTAAAAATTACTATGGAAAACTGCTCTTTCACTAGCTAGCAAGTGTTTTAGAGACAAATATTGTTGTTTCATCCTTTGCAGGTTAATATTCTTCTTTGTTTCGAATTTAGGTTTTCCGGTATTTAAACCTAGTTGACCTGGCCAGGTGTGCCCAAGTCTGCCAAACCTGGAAGGCCATGACACAAATGGTTATGGTATGGAGTAATGTAAGTAGAGTTGCTTGAAACCAAATTTTAATAATATTTTTTTTCTAAAAAAAAAAAAATCCACTGGGATTTGAAGAAATGAATATTTTTTTTTAAATTAAGACGTCATTCTAAAGAGGTAGCACAGATGATCCTCTATTTACAATTGGGATTGGAACGTCCATTGCTGAACGAAGTGGCTATTAAGCAGTTTGCTCCCAATTTGATGCTCCCTTCTGCCAATGTTGTTAAGTGAATCACCCAGCTGTTCAGCAACTCACTCTGGTTGCTAAGTGAATCTGGCTGCCCCCCCCTTGACTTTGCTCGTTGGAAACTGGGAGGGTCTCAATTGGCGACCATGGGACCCCCAGGAGGCTGCAGCTATCATAGATAACGTGCCGATCGCCAAGTGCCCCAGTTGCAATCATAACGGCCACGGGGAACCGTGGCGGTTGTAAATGTGAGGACTGACTGCAAGTCACTTTTTTTATACATACCTTTCTAGTCCCATCTTTAATGTATGTATGTATGTATGTATGTATATATGTATGTATGTATGTATATTCAAAATTTGTGGCTGGCAAAGAGTTAGTGGGAGACTAGTATAGCTATTTCAGGCTCATTTGTTCTCATCAGCTAGTCACACTCTTCAGGGATTCGAACCTGGGCAGCTTGCATGTTAGGCAGCTGTATTATACTTTTGAGCCACAGGTTCCCCCTTACTGGCTGATACTGACTAGCTGATGAGGGCTAATGATCCTGAAATAGCTATACTAGTCTCCCAATAACTCTTTGTCAGCCACAAAATGTTGAATTTATAGTGTTCACAGTATGTGAGGTCTGCCTGCAAAACAGGCTCCTAGATTGGAGCGAATCGCAGAACAGACTGATTTATATTTGGTAGATCGGGTGCTTCACCCAACAGATAAGATATGTATGTATGTATGTATGTATGTATATCAAGGTGTATTATATTAATATTATATTATATTATATTATATTATATTATATTATATTATATTATATTATATTATATTATATTATATTATATTATTATATTATATTATATTATATTATATTATATTATATTATATTATATTATATTATATTATATTATATTATATTATATTA